GCCTCCCCGGGGACGGGGCTAGCTGCCGCCCGGTGCGGGGCCGGCCCCGTTAGGAGCCCCGCTGCCTGTCTCAAGCGGCTTTTGAAGTTTGTGGGAATCCGCCCGCAATCCTGCAGCATCTGGGAAAGGCTTCGGGGGAAACGAGAAGGACGTCGCGAACAACAGCCCCGCCAGCGCGACACCCCCCACCCCTTGTGACATAAAAAGCGGGGATACGGGACGGGAAGGGCCCTGCTGTCCCCAAATGCTTTTGCAGACAACCTTGGGTCGTACACTCCCTTTGTTAACCCAGCCAAGATCCCTCTGAAAACCAGTTTGGCTCCTCGCCCCCCTCCCATGCCGAAGGTGGCTCCACAGCCCGGCTGCCTGAGAGGGAGCCCGGGGGCACAGCCCTCGCCTCCCCCAGCTCCGGGCAGCACCTGGAAGAACTGCCCAGTGCACTTTCTGCTTAGCATGAGAGCGGGGAAGAGGCAGAGCTGCCCGGCGGCACAGCAGCATGCCAATGCTTCTGCCTTTGGAGAAAACAGCATAATGGGAAAGGCAGAGGAGAAAGACAGTAGCGCTAGAGCAAAGCCTTGGCCCTGGTGTGGTTTTTACCCCAACTCAGACAAAACCTCTATCAGACCTTGAGAAAAGGCCAAGTGGAAACCCAGAAAGGGCTTCAGTTCTGCACTCTACAATAGCTGTGAGCCCCCCTGCAAATGTGTGACCTTGTCAGGGTGCTGTGAGGGCATTTCCAAATCCTACCCTTAACTCTAACCCTAAGCTTAACTCTAACCCCAACCAGATGAAGAATGCTTGGGTTTCTTGATGGTCTAAATGAGAGATGCTACAGTGCTGAGCAGGAAAGCAGCTGATGAGAACAAGGCATCAGAAGTAAATGGGGGTAGCTCACTGCAGGGTGAGTTGTGTTTCCTGCTCATGAGGAGTAAAGCTCTGAGCAAGTGGGATGTTGCAGTGGGAAAAGCCGACCAAGGCTGCTTAGAACATCCTATTTCTGGAGCAGACAGAAGTGCTGGGGAGTCCCCAGACTAGCAGGCTCTCACTGCACTTACTGGTTTCTACCACTCTCCAAAAGCACTGGGATGTTTGGGGACATGGCCAAGCCCTTTCCCAGTGCAGAACAGGGAAGTCACAAAGGCGCAAGGGTGCTGACAGCCAAGCTGGCTGCACCAAGTTGCTGCTTGGGACCGCCAGAGCAGGCTGAGCATTGCCAGTTGTAGGAAAAATTAAAAGCAGTTTCTCCAAATCACCACCATCTTGCTCGCCTTCCTTGGGGGTTCTTGGGCAGTCTGAGCTCAGCGCTGCCACTCCAGTGGAGACCGTCTGTGCTGCTGCCCGTGCCTGCAAGGCCAGGGTCTCTGACCCAGCAGGAGTTACCTGCTGGTGTGCCTGGCTGCCCCCGGCCCAGCCAGTGTCCCATGCTCTTGGCAGCACAGAGCGAGGCTCTGCTGGGAACAGATGCAGGAATGAGACAGGCACAAAGCAGCAGGCCGCCAGGCCCCTGAGCTGGGTGGCTGTGTGTTAACAAGATCCCTCTGGCCCTAAGCTTTCATCTCCCCAGCCTACACAAAGGGTGCCACTAAAATGTATGTAAAAGCAGGAGAAACATGGGAGCTGGCCCTGCAGCAACCCTCCCTTCATCTCCTGTCTCTGACTGACAGCCAGCAATGACCTGCCACTCAATGGGAAGGTCTGCACACCTTACCTGGAGCAAAGGATCCCCCCGGGCGCACACTACCGCGCCGCACTCAGGCACGGCCCCCCGCACTCAGCCCCTCCTGGGAGCCAGAGGCGAGAGGCTTGGCAGCCAGTCAGGCTCCTGCAGGCCACCACAAGGATGCAGGGACTGTTGGGGACCAGGTGCTGCCCTCCCTGTGCCGTCAAGCCCTGTGTGGACCTGGAAAAAAAACCTTCCTGGGAGGGTACAGACGGGCTCTGCTAACCCTGTCCACTTCGCTCCCCCTTGTGAGGTGCAACCTCGTAACACTCCAGCTTCTGTCTCATCGTCTTCCTCTCCAAAAAGCCCTGCACAGTGCTGGGGCACTCTTGACCCTGGCATCACAGCAAACCCTGCCCCGAGGTGCTGCCCATTTCGGGTTGAAAGGCAGCGCAGGCAACGTGCAGACAGAGAGCAGAGCTGTGGCCATTCCCAGCAAGTGCTGCGCCGGGGCTGTTTTCCCAGCCATCCTCTGAATACAGATGTTTTCTCTGTGCAGGATCCAGACAGAGGAGAGTAAAATGTTTTCATTCCAAGCTCCCAGGGTCAGGTCATGGTTTGTCTAAATGGCTTTTGTTGCTGTAATTATCAGATTAGCTGATCTCTGGCAGTGCGTTTAGGAGCAGCTACATTAACTGTGGATCCTGACCCTCCCACCGCCACCCTGCCCAGCCGGGGCAGTGGGTTTGCAATGGGGCGCTGGGGATCAGGGATGCCAGGAGAGCCAAGTGAAAGGTTCATGCTTGGTTTTGAGCTGGTACCAATTGGACCCTGGCCTGGGAGCAGCTGGCACATTTGGGGAAGACAGCAGCGAGCCTCACTGACCTCCTCAGTGCACGTGATGTTTCTGAGCTGGGCCTGATCCTTTCCGCTTACTCCAACCTGCAACACATCGCAGCTGCAGAGCCCCATCCCAGGCACCTGCCAGCTGCTGTGGCTGATGCTCAATGTGCAGACACAGGATGGGGGCACCTGAGATGCCTCCTCTTGCTCAGGGCTGATGCTCCTTGCAGGCAGTGAGCCCAGCAGGTCCTGGGGTGCTCTGGGACCCCACACTGCAGCTGGGAGGGGGGAGTGCAGGGCCAGTGCCTGGTTGCAGGTGCTGTGAGGGGTGGGCAGCCCTCCCCCAGGAGCCGGGGAGGTGCAGGAATAGGGGTGTGAGATACCAGGCAAGACAGAAAGCGTGACGGGGAGATGAGAGAGCAGGGCAAGGGGCAGATAAAGAGGGATCAGGAGTTTCCGGCCCCTACCAGCCCCTCGCTGGGTCTGCCTGTCAGCGCCTGCAAGTGCTGATGGCACTGAGCCTTGGTGGCAGCCAGGGTGACAGGTCATGCTGAGGGGCACCACCGGGGGGCTGGGAAGGGGCCCCCACTGCTTCCTTCCTGCTGCACCAGGGCACTGGCAGTGGCTCAGACCCCAGCGTGGCCAGGGACAGGCAGTGCCCACACACAGCCCCCAAGGCTGAGACCCTGGCCATGCTGCCCTGCAGCACTCACCTCCTCCCACCACCACAGTGAGTGCCAGGGATTTCACCAACCAGCACCAGAAAAAAATCAGTTCCCGCTCTGCTGAGCTGCAGGTGAACATGCAGGTGCTCAGTAGCTGCTCACTTGGGCACCGTGCCTGTGGCAGCTGCCTTCCCCCTGACACATTGTCCCACCTCCTCTCTCACCTGCTGTAGGTGGGAGCAATAGGAGTTTCCCTTGGGCAAGGCAGAAGCTCTGAAGAAATGAAATAATTCCAAATCAGAAAAGACTTCATTGTTTCCCCATAAAACAAATTATTTAGAATGTGGTTTCACTGCATTTCAGTTTCTGAAGTGTTACAGTGCCAGAACATAACACCCCACTGAATGAAGACTTCTGGAGCAGGACATCTACATCTTCTCTTTCAAAGAGCACGTCAACCTCTTTAAATGTTTCAGAAAATTTCAACAGCAAAATTTTGCCTTTCAACACCATGCTTCTGCAGGAAGTTTTAGCTTCAGCAAAACATAATTTAAAAAAAATATGAAAATTAGTGGAAGCTATATTCCTGGTATTTTTCCTAACTGTCACCATGACAGAGCTTGGTTAGCTCCAAATCCATCTTACTTGCTTCCAGCCAAAAGCCAGAGGGAAACCCAGAGCAGTGAGGACAAAGCCCATGAACACCCAAGAAGGAGAGATTATCCACCGACCCAGTCAGGCTCAAACTTCTCCTGCCATCACTGCTGCCTGGGCACAGCCAGACATTCACCATTTCTCTATCTAAAACCATTTTTCACATTAGTCCTGGTGCTACTGGAGTCCCAGCCCAGCCCATGGACCACCCAGGACCTGCCCCGTGGCCATGCTCACCTCCTCTGCATCCACTCCTTCCCCCGGCACCCAGGAGGCACACCGCCACCCCAGAGGAGTGCTGGCCCTGAAAGGGGAAAGTGATGGGAGGGTCCCAGTGCTCACCACAGGATGAACCACTGGGGCTGGGAAACCATGTTTCAGAGACATGCTTTCTCCTCATTTTTCCTTTTGCATCAGCACCTGCTGGCAGATGTCAGAAGACTGGCCCAAGGACTATGACCTGCCCAGGCGCTGATGCATGGTACCCCGGTGCATTAAAGATAGTTTCCCGAGGTTGCAGGGGACCAATGGAGAAAAGGCTGGAGTTGTTGGTCCCTGAGCATCCCTAGCCCTGGAGCAGGATAGGCACTGCTATATCAAGGCATGGACTCCTGCATAGCCAAGGAAGCTGTTTTGGGGAGGCCTGATATGGGGAGATAGCTGCCACCCCCAGGGCCTGGGGTGCCACAGAGGCAGCGATCCCCCTGCCCAAGTCACTGTGCCCCACCAGCGAGCCGGGCTCCTGCCTTGGGAAAGAGACACCCGACGTGTCACGGGGAGCTGCTCCGCCACAGCGTGCCCAGGCTGCCAGGCAACTGTGAGAGACCAGCTGCACCCACAGGGCCAGCGGGATGGAGGCATCTGTAGCTCAGCAGGTCCCAGCTGGACCCCTCCAGGGAGGACATGTGCCCCTGCATGGCCGAGATGAGGCCAGGAAAAGGACTTCAGCTCCCTTGCAGGGAGCCTGGTGCTGCGGGTAGCTTTTGGACCTTGGTGCAGGAGCAGATTTACTGAAAACAATTTATTTAATATAAAAAATAATTTCTTACAGCATTTTGGCTGGCGTCAGCCGAGCGCTTACTCACCCGGGAATTCAAACAAAGGCAGGTTTGGCGCCCAGCC